TCTAATCCAAGCATATCTGACCTCTAGAGTAAACTACTGCAATGCTTTGCTCTACGGACTTCCAGAATATCTTTTGAACAAGCTCCAGAGGTCTGAACTTGGGCAGCAAGGGTAATCACACATACTAGAAAGTATGATCACATGACTCCTGTTCTCAAGACATTACACTGGCTTCCAGTCTGTCAGAGAATCAACCATAAAATACTAGTTTTAATGTTCAAGGCATACAACAACGCAGCTCCAGCATATCTGTCCAATCTTGTACAGAAGTACCTGCCATCACATCCCCTCAGGTTCAGGTTCTCGCTACCACTAAACAAAGATCTGAGGACATCCCATTAGGGGTCTCCTTTCATCCAACCAATCAGAGCGCCGCTTACCAGATCATGAAAGTGACATTTGGAATGTGATTTCTAATCATGCAACCTCGAAAACTTTAACACAGGGTATTCCAGGGTATACCCGCATAGTTACGGGTTTAACAACTAAATCCATACAATCTAGACCATCTATTAGCCATTCCAGAATGTTCTTCTGTTCAGGTTTCAAATTTTTAATCGAGAATTTGTCAAAATATTTTTTAGTCGCCCATCTGTAATTAGTGCCCCAAAGCCCGAGAAAGCCTCCTTCTGATTGGCTAATGTTGACTTCTTGTCAGTCATTCTATTTGTTGGTCAAAGTTCGCGCAAGGTCAGCCTGACATGACCTGTAATCATGGTAATGAGATGTTCTCAGATCTATATTTCGCGGTAGTGAGAACTAAGATCTGATTTTAATGAGATTGCTCAGGTCATCAGATCAACTCATGGCAACGCAACCCAGGTTCGATTCCCAACATGAGTACAATGTGTGAAGCCCATTTCTGGTGTCCCCCGCAGTGATATTGCTGGAATATTGCTAAAAGCGGCGTAAAACTATACTCACACACTCAACTCATGGCGAGGACTGAACCTTCACATACTGTTGTAATACTCATTTATCGCTCATAGTGCATCAGAACTACGTAACCAGTAATGTCATTAGTCTATCATGGTCTATGCTTAGGAATATCTTCCTGCGCTTGCACTTCTTCTACCTGTAACATCAAGAAATCATCCAAGTAAACCAAGTCGCACTAAAATGTGTTTGTCTGCTATTACCTGAAGTCCGGATTCAGTAGTATGTGTAGCATGGTTCCACAACACATACTAAGACATTTGGCAACTGATCTTTACAAGCTGCAGGACCGTCCCTTTGGAACAATTGAGCTCCCACTTTATGTGAGATCAGCTGCAGAACTATGTACTTTCAAATCCAGATTGAAGACACATCTATTCAATGAAGCTTTCAACATGTCCACATAAGTGTTTTTTCAGCAGTTGTATGTACCTGGATACTAGAGCTATATAAATCCATATATATATTGATTTAACGTGCAAAAAGCATTTTTCTAGAATTTCAGACAATACTTTAGTAATACAGCATCACCTAACACTGTTCCAACCTTGTCAAGATCTTAAAAACCAAGATGATAATAGGCCAAACAATTATTCCATGATGTACATTATGGTTACTGTCTCGCTAATGTTCATATCATGGGGGGTCGCTTAATTAGGCAGGTAGAAGAAGAGACATCTAGTAAAATATACACAGATGTATTTACATGAACATTATACTTAATAAATATACAAAACAATGGTAAGCAATGTTTCTGGGAAGGTGAGAGACAGGAATTCATCTGGTTCTAAATATAATGCACAGTGACAATTCAACTTCACACTATACAATCAGTGCATCATACTATAAAAAAGGAATAGATCTCTCTCTCTCTCTATATATATATATATATATTATTTACAAACAACAGGAGTGAAATTATTTCACAAGTTATATTAACATTTCAGTGTACTTTACTTCTGTGGTATATATATAAAACAGAGACCATATAATCTAAGATCATTTAGATCATGAACATGCTAGATTTTAAACATGCCTAAGCTAGCAATGCTCAGTCAAATTTAGAATTTTGCATATTGTGTTAACAAATCACTGATTTAGCTTCAGAAATCCTTAAGAAATACATATCATAGGATGGTTTTTCTCCCACTTGTCTGATTATCTCTCAGAAAAACTCTTTTTGACACCACCGGGAGAGCCAGAAATTTCATTTTGGTCTAAAAAATGGCAACAAATGAAAAAGGGGAACATTTTAAGAAAATGTTTATTTGAATAAAACCATAATATTTTAGTAGCATAACAGCAGTAATCCAGGGCCAAGTTTGGTGCATATTCATCTAAACTGAATTTTGGGAATAGAAAAATGACTTTGAAATGTGGCGAAAATGTCCATTTTGGGGGTTAAGTTAATAACTTATGACACATCTGAGTTTCCAGGCACCGTTTCTAGTACAGCATCAACTGTGCCTGTCAGTATGGATTTGAAATGTCTTACCTACAACAACAAAATATGAAAAGAAACATAAGGAGTCTGTATTAAACTTTCTTTTGTCTTTCAACAGTTCTTCACAGTACTCAAAGTCATTTTTCATGCTTTTTCTCTTTTTGTGCTGCCTCTTCCAATGTGCAAATAGAATCTTCCAAAGCTTCAGTTGACATTTTGATATATTCCTTTGAAGATTTCAGCTCTTGTTGGTTGTATTCAAATTCCTTCCCAATTTTCTTGACTTTTGAAGCATTTTTGGCCAGGCCGGTTTTAGTTTGAGCATGGGCACTCTTTTCTCTCCTGTTAAGGCTGAAATATTTTCCTCTCATATTTGGCTTAAGGGTTTCCAATTTGTCTCTTTACAGCAAATTCATCAGTGGCTCTTTTGAATTTTCTTTTTAAATTGTAATTTTCCCTTTCTAGAGATATCATTTTTTCTTTCTTGTTTTGCATTAGTGGGTTTAACTTGCTTACTTCATCCTTCAGACCTTCATGTCCAAGGCCTTACAATGTCATAATATGACCTTGTTCTCTCAGGAGTTTGTACTGGCACAATGAAATGCTCAGCTCTATATTTTTCCTTAACTTGTCCTTTTTTCCTTTTATCTTCTTGCTGTATTCGGTGAAACTTACTCATTAAGGCATTAAAATTAAGCTGCTGAAGGGGAACATTAAAAACCTGTCCAACCCACGTAGCAAACATTTGACGGTTTCTGGGGGCAAATTTGTGAATTTTAAATACTAACCCATTTGTTTGAAATTTAGTCGGAGCTACACTCACATCAAGCTGTGCTTTCATGCTGTCAGTAAGTTGCAACTGTTCAATTAATGGGAACATTTTCCAAACCTTTTCTTTGCTTTTTTATATGCTATGTTTCTGGATCTTGATCTCAGCAATGAAAAGGAACCAGACCCACTACTACTGCTAATACTGCTGAATTGAAAAAGTGATGCAATGTTTCTCGTGAAGAAATTTTTCGCTCACTAAGTTCACACTCAAAATTATCATGAAGCCACTGTGCAAACTTATTATTTTCTGCCAAACACTGAGCATGAATTGATGTTACAGATTCACAATCTCTCAATTTTCTGTAAGTATCAAGAAGATTATTCCAATCATCCGATTGGTGTTCAATATTTCATACAAGTTTACTGTACTTTACATTAATTAAAACATACATTTAGTTACTTATTGTAACACACATACATGACATCTTAATTGTTCCTCCTACCTACGTTAAAACAGGGTTATAGCTAAAACGGCACCTCAGCAAAACGTCACCTGGCGAAAACGGCACCGATTGGCGAAAACGTCACCTCGCCTCAGGCGAAAACGGCTACTATTGCCTGGCGAAAACGGCACCTTATGTTTTTTTAACCTTGATAAAATAAATGATATTAAATAACATGGTCGCTTGCAAACACCAATAATTGTGAAATGTTACAACTAGCTTACATTAGAATTTAGCCTCTACTCCAACTATAATCCAACTCAACTTATTGTGAAAACATAACATGCCTTGAAGTAAAATAAATGAAATTAAACTCACATCGTCTCTTACAAACACTAATAATAGTGAAATGTTTAAACAAGTTTACAGTAGAAATTAGCCCCCTACTGTCCAGGACATTTTTTGTGAGGCCAAGAGAATATCCTCCTGGTAAATAGAGGTGCCGTTTTCGCCTGTCACATAGTAGCCGTTTTCGCCAAATGCGGTGCCGGTTTCGCCAGAGAAATCGGTGACGTTTTGCTGAGGTGCCGTTTTAGCCTGCACCCGTTAAAACACATGACATTGACAATGTGAAATGGTTCAGCCTGACAGTTATTTTAGTATTTTTAAAACTTTAAACTGTCAACGCAAAAAAAAACCTCAATGTCATAAATATATTCTCCAATACAACATTCTTACATATACTGCCTCAAATTACGAGGATTATTAAAAACAAATACTGTAGTGTTTGTGAAACATGTCCGAAGGGAAGTAACTGCGTAGTTATGTAAAAACTGCATACCGCTAAGTAGGGTGAGGTCCGATTTAATTATTTTTTGATATATTGTCCCTTATTAATTACGTCTACAACACACTGAAAATTATAACAAATGATTGCAGAAGAGAATAAACCTATTTACAATCGCGTATTCAGCTGTTTTGATAGTTTTGAGAATAACTGTTGACTTCATCAAAGTAACTCAACTTCGAAGAACATTCTAAAAATAGCAGCTTACGAACTACGCATGCAACCTTTACCCTAGTTTGTGATGTACGCTGATTTTCCCGCTTTCTGCGTTAATCAATGAGTTTAGAGATGGGATTTTGAACCGACCCTCCGAGGTGTGGTTAAACCAGCTTTGGGAATAATTGCAGGAAGAGTTACCTGCTCTTGCCATGAGCATTGCTACCTAAGCTCCAAATTCGCTTACATTTTCTGATTAAAACATCTTCAGATATCAGGACTTTTGTGTGTATGTTGTGATATCCAAGCCATCAATATGATGGTCTTGGATATCACTACATACGCATATATATATATATGTCAATCTATTTTGATTTTAAACAACCGCATTGCAATAGCCTACCCATCACATTTCCTTTTTCACCGGCTTGCATCAGGTTCTAAAAAAGGGTGATATCGGATGACGCGAAAACCGATTTTTTTTTACCTATTATCAATATTCTTGGTGTTGATTAGTCACAGGTCTATGTAACGCGTACAATTCAGATATTTCAGTGCGTCTGACTTTCTTTTAACGATTCGCATGGACGCTGACATTTTGAAAGAGTGACTAATTATTTCAATTTTCATTACCATAAATTGTTTGCCTTTTTTTCAATCTTGTCGAAACACTTATATACAATTAATCATTTTACAATAATTTTTATGTTTTAAAATATTTTCAAAGTGAAGTAATATTTTGATGCTAGAATACGCGATGCAATTGATCTGTTTGCATACAACATCGATTTCTCCCTAACCTTCAGGGAGAATACATTTAATTAATATGCGTACAGATAAGACGTTGAAACAAACTTACAAATCAGATACCTTACGTACTAACAAATATTTATACCTGAGTTTATTTACTTCTTATCTCCATTTACACGGTAACTTGGCAATTTTCGAAATCTCGTTCAAATATTTTTTGGTGTAAAACTATAAAATTGGAAGCCCCCCATCCGTTCTTCCGCAAAGCGAGCGCCATAAGATGAAGGTGAAGATTAAAAGTAGGTAAACTTTTAAGTCTGTGGATAATCAAACATGTTGGTAACACACTTTTATACAAGTCGTAGATATTTGTCACTTTGGACTATTAAAAACTATACTAATCACATTCAATTTGTAGAAAATCATTGATTAAAATACAAATGTCCACATTCATTACCGATGAACCCTCGTAATGTCTGGTCGTGAGACGGATGCATTGAATTCGTAGACACATTTTACAGTGAATTCGTAGACAAACCGGGAATGAATTCGTAGACACATTTGCTACATTGCAGTTGAATGATAATTAGTATCCTGAGCCGTGTCTTTCACTTACCTCAACAACATTTTAAGAATTGAATGACAATAGGCTAATTACTCTCCTCTTTCAGTTAGTTCAACTGTTTTATTGTCACCAAATCTAAAAAAAATATGCACTGCCTAGCCATCGATGAAATACTACTTGTCTTAGTTTGCTACTTTTCTACATTACTTGTAAGGATGCATCCGAATGTGTCAAGTAGGCGCCCTTATCTTTAATCTAGATGTCCAATAATTCATATCATTGGAGGGTTCCCATTGGAGAGAGCGGCCTACCTTTAGAATACAGTACCACAAACATTTCAAACACGTGACAATACCCTATGACGTAATTTGTAGTATTTTGTTGCCAGTCACAATGCCCTGTGACGTCAGCCCGTCAGGGGTCATCGAGTGTGCATAAGCTCCTTCCAGTGATCTATCATCTCTACGTGAAATGTCATTGAATACGCCAAGCAGTGTGGAGAATTTTGAATATTTGTTTACTAAATATATCCTGCGGCGGCGCATTTTATAGCAAGCGCTAGTTTACGAAAGCACTTTTATTTTTTATATATTTTTTATTTAGTTTTTCTCGTAATTCAAGTGGCTAAAATGGTTATAAATGGGAACTAATATACATATAATATTTTTTCAGTTCATTAATTTTCATTATTATGTCCAAGAATGCAGTTTATTAGGGATATTATATTGGCGCTGGACACATCCTTAATATCACTAGTGTTAGGGTAGGTTACCCCAAACTCTATCCTTTAGCCCTTGGATCCCCTTTACGATCAATCACCCCTTTACGATCCTTAGGGTTAGGAACCCATTTAGTGGCTATTAGATTACCCTAACTCTGTCCTTAGCCCTTGGATCCCCTTTACGGTCAATCATCCCTTTACGATCAATAGGGTTAGGTAAATCTACCCGTTTAGTGGCTATTATAGATTCTATAGCGGCTCCTAATATTCTTCACACTAAAACGTCGAGTAAAAAGGATGAAATGGTTTTGTGTCGAATTCTTTGGCTACTGGAAACTGTCCTGGAACATTCACACAAGCCACTTTCACTGGCTACATTTTTTCAGTACTGATTCAAAAGCGAACTCACCGTTGTGTCGTCACTCATGCACATGCCTCCCTGGTTCCTTACTATTATCCACATCATCCTTACAGTGTTTCCTACCACACTTTTCTGTCACAAAATCCACCTGGCGAATGATTAAATACCATGTCATTCATGCGTACTCACGAGTTCGACGTCTGACGTCTGACGCCTGTAGCGGTTTTCAGTTCGCACCATATCGGATCATTCCTCGATACTCGGTATCTTGTAGATTACGGAATGGGATGAGTGTGCTAAATGGCATCGGGATAATTCGTAAGTGTCTGTAGACTAAAGTCACGAGACACCATGCCTACCCGTAACCTTCGCAAGTGTCCGTCACCTATTCGACCCTTTTCGTTCAGTTCCGTAACTTCGTTGGCATGACTTTGTAAATTTGCACTTTGTTTCACAGTGCTGACGTAGCTCAGTCGGTGAACTGTCGGGCTAACAATCCAAAGGTCGCGAGTTCGCGTCCGACGGATTCTCACAAAAACTTGTTGCTTGTGACCTATGACAGAGACCGTCCTCACAAGAAGATGTGGTACTGTATTCTAAAGGTGCACCGAGAGAACATATCACAATGATGAAATGATATTTATGTCAAAGTATACATTCGTTGAGAATTGTCTGTACTGGTTACTGAGACATACACATGCTATATTGTTTTCATTGACTGAAATACTCAGGCTTTCGTAATATCACCAAATATAGATAGATAGATAGATAGATAGATGAGAGAGATGTAAATGTAAATAAAATCAAAAGGGACAATTTGTTTTCTCTAGGGACAATACTAGTTGCTGGTCCAAGATGAGCTGTAAACTAGCCATCTTCCTGACGCAAGAGAGTTAAATGACTATAAACGTCCAGTTTTCACCCTTGCCGAACTAGGCTGGTATTATGGTGTTACGTTTTGGCTGGGCTAAACGAGTCTATGCATAGTCCAATCAAAATCGCTCACCGAAATTGAAATCCGGTTTAGTAAACTGTCAAGCAGAGTTCGGTCGATTGCAGGATTTGCACAGCATCTGCACCGCCAAGTCATCAACAGATATTTTCCAAATCTTTTCAAGTTTTTAATCAAGGTGCTGACGTGATTTGATGCAAGACCCGTTTATCACAATATAGATCTTGATTGTCCATCAGATCATCTTGACTGGGTGGCGCAATTTTGTTTGAAGCAAATGCAAGTGAGAGGAGAGGTGGAATCTGATTGGTCCATAGGAGAGGCATAGAGGGGACATAACTCGTAACAGCCACTGGTGGCGCTATGATCAAGCCCAGGAATTCCAGCCTAGTTCGGCAAGGGTGGAAACTGGACTTTTAAAGTTAGTTAACTCTCTTGCCTCAGGAAGATGTAAACTAGCTGGATCTGAGCAATTGTGTTGAAATATAAATAATAAATAAATTAAAGCATTATAAATAAGCATTAAACTCACTGACATATTTACTCAATTGCTTGCTACTCCTCAAATGAACTTGACTGCTTTCTATTTAGCTCATCTATATATGTCCTTTTTTTCATATGCCACACCTCAATGATCTCATATAATTTGGGTGATCTAAACAGGGTAAGTACTGTTTGAATTCCTATCTTACATCATGTACATCAAAGGCCCTGACCTTTAACTTGCTCACCGGAAAAAGGTTGAAGTGAGCTTATGGCATTGGGTGTTTTCCTTTGCCTGTCAGTCCTTGGTAAACATGACACCTCTTATGAAACAATAAACAGGACTCCAGAGGTTTTTGTTGAGCCACTGAGTATTTACTCATTAGTTATCATTCACATCGGTATCTATAGATAGTCTTTTTGTATCCCCTGCTCATCCAAATCCGTGTTCAAACATAATATCCGACCATAATGCTAGCAGTAGAAACTTACAGTTTAGTCAACTAGTCCTTATAATGATAACATATCATGATATAGCAAAACCCTTAAAATTGGCATATTTCTACTAGTCGTGATACCTTAACTGTTGGGCAGTTTGGCAAGGACTACAGGACTAGTGCCAATGCATTAGGGGCTGGTCATGTGACCCTTTTTGGAAACCATACAATGTGTTATAGATATATGGAAAGCTCTTGGAAATCTGCAACAACAGTATCGCTAAAATAAATCAAATTACCAAAATAATGACTTCATGGCCATTTGAAGTTTTGCAAAAATCAAAATTTTCGCTGATTTTCTTACTGCCTATCATTAACTCCTTACACATCAAGACTAATGTAAAAAAAACCTAACAGTATTGTATCTGCGGAGAGAGCAGACCCTCGTCAGTAATCTCAATACAGACAAAGAAATGTGCATACATTTAAGATATTTGTTGTAACTCCCGTCTGTCCTACATGTCCTAAGGATATACTATTACTCCTCTGAAGTCTAGTCTGTTGGGTATGTTTTTTAACTTATCCTGCATTACTCCTTAATGCATTTATTTACTGAAATGAAGCTGTGCGGAAGTGGTGATGTCACCGAATGAATCCGAAACCGAATGTTACTGCTTGTCACCAGACAGACGTGTTAATAATTGGTCTCAAACTTGTGGCTTTAGTTCTGTGGTTGTGCTCTGCTCCCACCTAAATATCATCTGCGATGGAGGGAGTATATGTTTCTATATAGTCATTATGCTTGTATTTGTGTAAAAGAATATATAAATTGTACATTAAGAGACTATGTCTTTCTCCTTTACTTTTTTGTTGTTCTAATTCACCATCTTGAATTTGATAATGTGTCTCGTTTCTCGAGGCAGTCAGGTTTTTTCAGTTACTGGCTTGGCAGTTAAAATAATAACCTTTAGCTGCAAATTGGCTTAGCGAGTGGTTTACGCCTGTTAAAATAAGTGTTATTTGTTATAATAAAATTATTTGTTTTATTTAAACTTTGGTTTGTCATGTTTATTTCTCAGTCTTTGCAAGTTATTTTTTCAATACAACATTTACCTTTTTGTGTTTATATTATGCTTGCATTTTGTATTATTTGCTGTTGTAAAATGTCTGCTAAGAATCTTCATCCACGGTGTCTGTATTGTTCTCGAGTTTGTACATCAGAGTTGAAATGTAACTTTTGCTCCATTCTCTGCCTGTCAAGCTTTAATAGGTACAGCCATAAGGCTTGGCTCGGTAATTCAGTTTCTAGACTTTAGCGCACACTAATTTCTTCTACTGTTTTTCACCTGGACGTCCTCAAACATGTCAAACTCTAGTTTTGCTTTTTATGGACATGATTGAGCGAGTAGTACTGATCTGCGCAGATGTTGCGCTATACAATTTCCTCAACCTTGTGTAATCAGGGTTTATTTAAATTGAGGACTACATCTGAAGGTATGCCCACCACTGTAGTGTCTGATAAGATGCAATAAGGTGTACCATATATCGCTGTGTATAAGGCAAGTTTTTCGTACCTAGAATTAGGGGGCTTATACACAGGGTAGAAGATGTTTTTTTCCCCCAACACAAAGACATTACTGTGAGCACGTAACATCGGAAATACAATGTCAACAAATCCATACTGAAGTACAGGGGATAACGAACTTAAGTGGATAGAGAATGGATTTATATATATCATAATAAATGCCATACACTGACTCGCTGAAAAGTCATATTTGTTGTAGTTTGACTATTATATGTCAACATAAATTTTCGCTATCGGGAGTGCGGGAGCATCGACAGTGATAGGTCAAATTGTTCCATAAAAATATCCGGCAATAGCGATCAGCTGTACCAAAGTGCTATGCTTATGGTTATTAATTAATTTCAAATATATATATAGTAAAGCTGTAACTAAAATAACATGATATTGGAATAAATTATTCCTGATAAAATAATAGTTTCAGATTCAGATTCTTCAGAGTTATATTATTGGGTACTTTTTAACCAGATCACCGGTAGATTCCGAGAAACAACGTGTGCATAGCTGATTGCTGCTTCCGGCTTAGTTTACGAAACAATACACACGGTAATCTTAATCTTTGCATGTAAAACAATGCCTAGCAGAACAGGAAATACAATTTAATCAGCAAATCCTCATGTCTAGTGATGTTTTATCTCAAATTTCACCAATGTTGACCAAGTTTAATTGTTATGATCTGCAGGGTTTGACAAATACACCGGCCAACTGGACAAATGCTAGTGAAACTTGATCTGGGCCAGTAATTTTATATTTATACTGGACCAGCTGGCTATTGAAATAATATGGTGTACCAATCGCTTTTAGTCAGGTTAAAACTCACTTGATCTTTTATTCAGTCAACAAAAGCCGTACATCAACTTGTCTCTGCCAACTACCAATCTTAGTTACCTCCCTTATCGAGACCGTAACACCATGTATAAAATATCTGTAAACTGGCTATTTATGTCCGTTATGATGACACCTCTACATAGGAAAGTGAGAGACCAGTTGTTAATAACCAATAAATTCCATCAAAGCAAACAGGAAGTGATTCATGTGACCAATCAAATTAATGCTACTTTCTACGCTTCACATACCGGTATTCTGTAATGGCCGTCACGTCCGAAACCGCTTCATGGAATTTTTTAAAGCCACTGCTGCAAATTGAAAAGCCCTGTGAACCAACACAAAGTGCAAGGAAGAGGGGAAGGACTTTCCAACAGTCGTGGAAGCTCAACTTTCCACGGTTAGAAGTGCATGAAACAAAGTCAGTAAAGTCATGAATAAAATGACTAACTATATTGACAAGTGTTTGCTCTTTTAAATTTCTGAATTTCTGTTGGACTTGTAACTTAATATCTAGGGCAGTAGTTTTTATTTCTTACTGGCCCAGTGGGCTAGTGTTTAGATAAGACATTTGTCAAACCCTGATCTGTTCCTTTCCGTGAATTCACTGAAGGGATACAATGTGATGTTTTCTTCAGAAGACAGACACATTTTTATTGCAGATGTAGGGATTGTGTATGCGCTGGTGACATGCTTCATTCTGATTCACTTTATGGACGGGGTATATAGATTAGCATCAATTTCTCGGGGGGGGGGGGGGGGGGAGGCTCTCGCCTTATACGTGGGGTCGCTTTATAGACGGCAAGATGCGGTAATGCAGGATAAGTTACAAAATTTTGTAAAATCTAAATATTTTTTACATTTGTATACTTATCCTGCATAACTAGGTCTAAGGGCCCACCCGTCTCAGACCTGACTCCCCATGATATCTTCAGATGAAATTACATGTGACAAGCAGTAATATGAAGATTCAATGATGTCATCAGTTTCGTTCGATCACATGGCAGCTGTGTAGGGTCGGCTTCGCAACTGGTTAGAACATTGTTTTCAGCAGCCTAGACCTCGCACAGCCTCCTTTCTGTTAAAAGGTAAGCAGTAGAAACTAATTTTACACCAATGATACAGTGTTTACCTTTACCAGCATTTTACCAGTAAAATGGGCCATGCACAGGTACAGGTCCAAAATATTGTATGTACCAGTCTTTTTAGATGCTGCCGATCCAGTGAACCAGTAAATTTATAACTCGACAGAAACACTGATGACGATATTAAAAAAAATAATCTCGTTCAGTTGATTCCTAATTTGCATCTGTTCGTGTGGTGCTCCAAGTGTGTAATACATAGACTCACAACCGCCATATACATGTCCAATTAACAGTAAGCAAGATATGTTGTTATGCACTATTCATGCATTTGTGATGGTACCACAAGTGGGGCAAGATATGCTCACCTTTTTGCAAACACCTGGTATCATCGCTATTTGCTAGTGATTAATAAACACGTGCTCATGATATAGTCAGAATAGTTATATGGCATAAGTTGATCTTTACCTTCATGTATTGTTGTGTATGTATCAATGTGTTATTCAGTTTGCATGCAGAAACTTCCATTATTGCATTTCATTGTTCACCCTTGTGTCATGAGTATGACCCGATGTTCCAAGTAAGTTAGACCAGTTCAGATAAGTTACAGAGCAGTGTAGCCCTAGTTTTAGCTCACCTGACTGAAAGTCAAGTGATGTTGCATGTTGTCCGTTTGTTTGTCTGTCAATAACTTTCACGTTTTCGACATCCCTGAAACTGCAGTTAATGGAGCACAAGACACAACAAGGTGGGGTTGCCTTCAACTCAGGCCACTGCAACCATGCATCAACTTACACCAGCCCAATGTCATAGTTCCCTTTGAGGCCAATCTCAAGACATACCTCTGAGGTGGTGGACAATCCAGTCCTTTGTCTTTGACGGAATCTCTTTAGAGAGTTTGTTCCCCCTCAACACTTATTTGTTGACATGTCTCTACAAAGTTATCAACCTAGGGGATGTGGTCAGTGGTCAGACTGCACATCAATAGTCTGGAATTCTTGGCAGTAATATGTGTTATATTCAGTTATGGAAATGCCATTTGATCAATCACGTACGTCAAGACGATTGCAGGGTCTTGGAGGTACTGTTGGTACTTATGCAGCAGCTATCAACTCTGTCCTGGGAGCATCTAGAGTAAAGAAGATTAGCACTGCTCCAGAGAAAACAGCGATGCTTAAGAGTTTTCTCCTTGAGGGAAAGAAGCACTGCTTCAGTCATCCTGCATGGGATCTCGGGAGGGTTGTACATTTAACCACCACCCCCTATGAGCCACTAGGAGCAGCAATCCAGATGCATGTATTGGCGAGGTACATGCATCAGATGTTACACAGTTTGATGGGGCCTCATGGGAAGGTGCGTCTTCTTGGGACCTCGTTCTCAAGTATCAACAATTGGGCCATGAGAACAGTCATGTTCACAATGTCATTTCTGTCTACAGTCTCAGGAAAGGAAGATAAGGATGATCTTTCTGCTCAGTCCGGGCTTTCAGACTTTACCTTGAAGTTATGAGGCCTACAAGAAGATATGTCGAAAGGAAACAGCTAACTCTTCCTTTGGTGCATTACAACAAGATGGAGGTCTCCAAGAATACCATGGCATTATATAGCTAAAGGCAACCGGCTTGCCGGCATATGGACATTTATAGGATTGGATCCACCTCTTACTCAACCTGCACGAGATTGGAGCGCTGGCTTCCACTATGGCCTTACATTCTGTCATAGAGTAACAGTTTAAACAAAAAGCCACTCCCCGTGATTTCCACTTAAGCATAATAACTGCTCCCTTAGCAGGGAATTCTGGGAACCCTCGCGACGGCTGCTTCCGCCATGAATGTAAACACTCAAGAAGAGTAAATACATGTACATCTTGACTATCCCTCTAATACCGGGTTGTCTTGTTTATTATATGATTGTATGTAGTCTGGGGTTACCACACATTCCAATTGTTCCTTCACAATAGGTTGTATCAGGATAAGAAAAAAATTGCATACCCATGAACCCATGGACGAAATTGAGGGTTTAAGGAGAGGTAACTCTGATTGGTGATCGGTGACCTTGTGGTGAGCGCCCCCAGGCAGAGAGACACGTTTAGGTCCTGTATTAAGGGATCGCAGAAAGAGGGATTTGCAATGGGTTGTATCAGGAAAGGTATTTTAAGGTATTAAAAACAATTTGATCCTGAATATGTCCACATTATTTCTTCATAAGCTACAGAGCCTTGTGGCTGTCTTATTTACATTTGGAAGTGTCTTCAAGTGACCTACCTGCATCTATGCATATATTGTCTGGAAAATCTGTAACTACAAAATGAGATTGGCCACGGGGTTTTTTTCTACCTTTTTTTTCAGTACGTTTTACACTGATCTTGCACTTTCTTTGTGGATTATTTACATGTGGAGAGAGATATTTCCTGTCACATTGATCAATGCATGATCCTAGTTATGTTATATTTTCAGCTGGACTGCAGTGGCAACATGGCGTTGGGTGGCAAATGATGAAAACTGTGGCATATGTAGGATGGCCTTTGATGGCTGCTGCCCTGACTGCAAGCTCCCTGGAGATGACTGCCCTCTTGGTGGGTGCTCACACCAAACATGGCATGGCTCACATGCAGCCACAAATATCACATACATATCTCAGGCACAAACAATGTGCAATTATAATTCTTCATGTGTTGCTATGAAATATAAATTACTGCTCATGTATTCTGGGTTTTTTTATTTATGTGATTATATGCTAACTAGAGATTTTGACTGACATTACAAAAAATAAGACCTAGAGTACCTAGGTTCTCACAGGTGTTTCATGGTCGATGTGAGCATGCTGATTGCTCCTATTATCAATATGAATATTCAGAGCTCTAGCCAGCACTGTTAACATGTGATCTGCTGTACTGATTTATTGTTTGTTTCCTGTTTCAGTGTGGGGCCAATGTTCTCACTGCTTCCACATCCATTGTATAGTCAAGTGGCTCAATTCCCAACAGGTGCACCAGCTCTGTCCAATGTGTAGACAGGAGTGGAAGTTCAAGGAGTGATGCACACAGCTAGGAGTTGGCTGAGCTCTTACACACACATCATAGACATACTCATTCTGCTGGAGGTTCTCCAAAGACAGGTTGTGATAATGATGCTGGTTCCAGAATGATGGATGTATGTTGGATCAAGATGAGTTGTATAGCACCAGTGTGACATTAAGTGTTGAAGGGATGGAAATTGTTGTCTTTTCCACTTTGCTTGTACATAAATTAATAGTAGTAACTGGTTATTTTATAATAAAGATTTGTGTAACTAACTGCTGGATGGATGACATAAGGAGCATCAGTGGAGCGTCTACCTAAGCATCAGAGAAGCATCATCTGACTGTGTGTAAGAATCAGTGAGGCATCCAACTGACCTTGTGTAGGCATTAGTGAAGCATCCATCTGTACATGTGTAAGCATCTGTGAACCATCATCTGACTGTAAACATCAGTGACGCATCCATCTGACCATGCGTAAGCATCATCTGATCATGTGTAAGCATCATCTGATCATGTGTAAGCATCAGCTGACCGTGTGTAAACATCAGGGAAGCATCATCTGACTATGTGCAAGCATCATCTGACTATGTGTAAGCATCAGGGAAGCATCATCTGACTATGTGCAAGGATCATCTGACTATGTGCAAGCATCATCTGACTGTGTAAACATCAGTGAAGCATCCGTCTGACCATGTGTAAGCATCAGCTGATCAGCTGACTGCGTGTAAGCATCAGTGAAGCATCCGTCTGACCATGTGTAAGCATCAGCTGATCAGCTGACTGCATGTAAGCATCAGCTGACTGCGTGTAAGCATCAGAGAAGCATCTATCTGACCATGTGTAAGCATTAGCTGACTGTGTAAGCATCAGAGAAGCATCCAACTGACCATGTGTAAGCATCAGCTGACTGCGTGTAAGCATCAGAGAAGCATCTATCTGACCATGTGTAAGCATCAGCTGACTGCGTGTAAGCATCAGAGAAGCATCCAACTGACCATGTGTAAGCATCAGCTGACTGCGTGTAAGCATCAGTGATGCATCCATCTGCAGAGCTGTCAACCTAAAATGTTTGTAGGAATTGAGATTCCTGTTTAAGCTGGGGTCCAGGGCGGCGAAACCCCCCAGGAAAAATTGTGTTTTTAAGTTTTAGATTTAGACACCTTAGATTCATTGTTAAGCCAGCATTTCTGTTTTCTGTAATAAACTAAAACAAAGAATTAAATTACATTGTTTTCCAGATATCAACATTTAAGTTGTCAATACTATTAACAAACATACAAATTAATGTCATTATTGCATAAAACACAAAGTGTTTAACTGTTTATACATTTCATGATCCAGACTAACAAATAGACTATTTTAATAATAGTATGTTGAGCACACAACATAAAAGCAACCTTATAATTATTCTTCATAGGATTAAAATACAATCACCTTTAACTCATCTCTTCACACAATTGTCCCTTCATTTTCACATCAGTCATGAATTGCAAAAAACATATTATGCATCAAATGTAACTAATAATATTTCTGTCTTTTTCTACACTTGATTATTTACTTCTTAGAGTGAAGAGTGTTGTATTGTATTGTAGCACTTTTTGCTTTAACAAGGATTTCCTTTGGTGGTTCCCATTTGTAGCAAAGTGGTGATGACTCTGGTTGTGCCATCTTGATGGTAATGAGAGAAGACAATGTTCAATTCACTGATAATGGGTTCCTGAAGTCAGTTTTGTTCTTTCGGATCATGCTAAACACCATCTCCTCTCCTGCATTTGAATGTGGAATAACAAGCACAAGTTTCGCCACCTCACTCAAAGCACCAAACTTTGGGCTACCACCTGCAAGTCTTACACTTGACAGATATCCCCAGATGATATCCATTCTGTGGAATGATCCACCATCATCATCTTTTACCAGTGACTGATCCCATATGTCATGGGGTATATCACTTTTATCAAGAAGTTGATATTCTGTGAATTCTTCTTGCACTTTATTTGCATGTTGTGCAGTTTGATAAGGCAGTAGATGTTCTTGATAAAGAAAAGTACATCTTCAAAGCATGCCTTTCCCCTCTCTTCAAAATTGACAAATCTTGCATACTGTAAGATATCATCATTGTCCAGGCATGGTAGTTTCTTGACAGTTTCTGTTCCTGCCATCTCAAAAGAAGCGATCTCCTTCTGCCTTCTGCCAAATTTCTGCCTTTCTCTTGGAGAGATGTCCCCTTCTTCTTCCAATGACTGGATCTTTTCTCTGGTCAGCAAGCCAATGAATATTTGCTCATCAGGGAGTTGATTGTCTTTTGGGGTGAAGTCAACATCAGCTAATACAGGAGGGCTTTCCCTGATGACATCAATCTTGATGAATTTTCCTAAAAGTTTCTTGAAGAAGGATTGCATTTGTGGATATACTGCATATATGCAGGGATCTTTTCGCTGAAGAAATCTGTTGAATCCAGTGAAGAGAGGAAGCACTGACTGGTAAAACAATAAGTTTACTTCTGTCATGGGATTTTCATAATGACCCCTCAACCGATTGAATCTTTCTTGGAGCTCATTAGCTGATTTGAAGTAACTCCTACTTCCCTCAAACAATTCCAAGTTCCTCTCCACAGCTCTCTCAAGACTTAACCATCTTGTGTTAACATTTTAACTATAGTTTTGTAATCTGTGTCGCAGAACTTGCAGAAATCACTAAGGATTGTCTTTCTTTCAGTCGATTTGTCCAACCAATAATAAATGTCCACACAAAAGTCTTCCACATCAAAGCGAGTCACTCTTTGAAAGGCTTCTGATGCTCTGCAGGCTATATTGTGGACCAAATGACATTGACATCCACAACCCCAGTCACCCTTGACTTTATACTTTATACTATACTTCTATCCTAAGTTGACTGATATATTGTCTTCACCAAATGCAACACAGTGATCCCAGGGAATTCCATATTGTTCTATTTTCTCATTGATCTTATCAAATATTGTTGCTGCTTCAGCTGAATTCTCCCCAGATGTGCAGCACATATCCAAAAGATGAAGTTGAACCTTGCTTGTGTTGACATCATATATCCTTACAGTAAGGGGATTCATTTTCTCCAATTCAGTGTCGTTCAATCCATCCACAGCAAGAGAGCAGGGCTTGTTCTTCATCATCTCAATCAGGGTACCTGCAACAAAAGGACAAAATACCTTGTTTTTCAATCCTGAATGAGGCCTACATGAAAAACATTAAACCAGTCTATCATTATATCACATTTGAAAGAAAATTCTGTAACATGTACTGTATTACTAGTTATATGTGTTTAGAGAAAATACTTTAATATTTATGAAAAAAGTATTATGCGATTGATATTGAGAATATAACTTTTTATACTTAAGGTATCAGACATACCTCTAAAATATGGAGCAATAGCACCATTTATCATACAGGTTGTTTTGGTCTTTGCTTCTGCATACTGTTTTGCAATCTGAGAATCTGGGAAAATATCTGCAAAAACTGGACTCAAATTGTCAGCTGTGGCAAAGGGAAGATTATGCTGGGCAATCATATTGGCGATCTTGACTTCTGCACGGATGACCTGAAGTCACAGGGGGGAAAAATAATCATTAAATAAAATCATCAAGATAATTTTATACTGAATATATCTTTATGTTAACATCCTTTAGAACAATTACTAAAATTAGAAATATATCTAATATTTTTTTTCATTTAAAATGTTAAAAAAATCTTTTTTAGAATATAAACATTTATCAACTATGTATGGAATATCATCATGTCAAATATTATTACAATAACACAATTATGACTAAAAGTGTATCACACCACCACAGATTATGACATAAAGCAAAATGTTAGAACAGTGATTGAAGAAGATTAATAATTGAAAACAACCACCACAAATAATTAGAGCTTTTAGATTTCTTTGAACACAGAGGTAGATATGTAAGTGTCAGGAAAGAAAGTCAAAACTATTCTACATCGAACATACCAAACAGTTCATGCATATTTTCTGTAATGCAAACATCACATCATAATTAATAGGAATAATCATTCATAACCATATCAATAATTATTTTTAAAAAACACACAAGTTGTTAACATGTGTTCTCAAATAAAATAATTTTGAACGATGACAAAATGCAAAATCAGAACAAAAATAATGAACTCTTACCTTATCACTTCTGGAAGCTTGAGTGACAATGAAGACAGAAGAGAAGACGTTGATGATTTGATTTTTTCCAAATCTTTGAGGGGCGGTCGGGTAGCCTAGTGGTTAAAGCGTTCGCTCGTCACGCCGAACACCAAGGTTCGATTCCCGACATGGGTACAATGTGTGAAGCCCATTTCTGGTGTCCCCCGCCGTGATATTGCTGGAATATTGCTAAAAGCAGCGTAAAACCATACTCACTCACTCCAAATCTTTGTGAGATTTTCTTTGAACATGAATTTCAACATCTTGCATTCCCTGATGTTTGCAACTTACGCTTCGGTTACAAACTGTACATCGGAAATGACTGCTGCTGGCTGAATCAGCAATAATGCAAGCATACTTTTTCGTCCGTGTTTGACTGAATTTCGAGTCATACTTGGCTGCACCTTGATATAAATTGGATATCTTTTTCCTTTCAGCTGGGTTTCTGCCTTCCGAAGCAAATTCATAATCACTCATCTTTTCCTCTGTTCCTAGGATATACATACACGTTGTGATCAACAACAAAAAAGTGAAAACTGAAACTAGTGCGAAGACAAAATATGTAAAGGTTAATTTCATTGGCCAAGTGATGGCCAATCACAGTAAACAATAAAACTTTGCATTGTGGAATAGGATGGTTTGATGCGTTAAATTAGTGAAATGTAATTCCAAATTACTTTTTAAAAACATTTGTCTCAAGAAAGATCATGTGTAAGCATCGTCTGACTGTGTGTAAACATCAGAGAAGCATCATCTGACCGTGTGTAAGCATCAGTGATGCATCATCTGACCATGTGTAAGCATTCCGTGTGTTAGCATCGTCTGTGTGGAAGCATTAGCTGACCATGTGTAAGCATCCAAGAAGCATCCATCTGACCTTGTGTAAGCAACAGAGAAGCATCCGTCTGACCATGTGTAAGCATCGTCTGACTGTGTAAGCATCAGAGTAGCATCCGTCTGACCCTGTGTAAGCATCAGTGATGCATCCTTCTAACCATGTGTAAGCATCGTCTGACAGTGTAAGCATCGTCTGACCGTGTGTAAGCATCATAGTAGCATCCGTCTGACCATGTGTATCGTCTGACCGTGTGTAAACATCAGTGATGCATCATTCTAACCATGTGTAAGCTTCGTCTGACGGTGTGTAAGCATCAGCTGACCATATGTAAGCATCAGGGAAGCATCATCTGACTATGTGTAAGCAACAGAGTAGCATCCGTCTGACAATGTGTAAGCATCGTCTGACCGTGTGTAAGCATCAGTGATGCATCCATCTGACCATGTGTAAGAAACAGAGAAGCATCCGTCTGACCATGTGTAATAGTCTGGTCATTCTGTAATTTAACCTCAAGAAAATTGCAACAGAATATTTTACGACTGTCTCCTTTTAATTTAATGTATTTGAGTTTGTATTAAAAAGTCTACCAAAATCAACCTTCGGGAAAATGGTTAATTCCCACATCAAAAAAGATCAAAACCAACGAGGAGAATACTGCACCTACGGCCCGCCGTACATCAAGAAGAGCCCCAAAGGGAGATAATTCGTAACAAAACAATGATAACGGAGCCGTATTATTTCATGGTAAGTTGACAAATACACATTTATTTAAAAATGTAATGAATAATGATGAAAATAATGGCAGTTGGCTTCCAATATACTTTTAACATGCCCATCAACGATAAATTGTGTAGCGTCGTCTGCTATGTAACTTCGGCCGCACCAGCAGAGAACGTGTGTTAAACACGACCGATAACCATATTCCTGTCTTTTATAAATTCATCCAACATTGTTACAATTATGTGAAACATAATTATGTGAAAAATTATATCGAAAAGTGGAAAATCAATAAAAACCTTGGACCCTCCTTGATAAAATAAAAAATGTATGGAAGCCCATGAGTGACGTGTATAATCATTTGCGTAATGCGTACATAATTTGCAATTCGTTAAATTCATTACGTTTTACAACCAATCTTGACAATATTGATATCGGAACAAGTTACCTATTTCTAAAACACCCGATATTGACATTTCTCGTCTTGAGTGCATTTGTTTTACTGTTTAAAGTCACAAAATTAACTCTTTTCACTGGCTTGTAACTTTTTCTTTGTCTGGGAAATTGGTGAAAAACGGAACCAGGAAAATTCAGCAAATGCAGATGTAATTACTTGAAATATATAGGAATTTACTTTACTCTCTTTTGGCACGATGCTGTAAGACATTTTTCTTCTTTCAGAATTACGGCTACGAGTAAATATGGAAGAATGTGTCCTGTGTCATCAATCTCTCCAGAACGGAAGGGATACTGTGACCTTACTACAACAAGGTATTATAGGTATCAACGAAGCCAGGAAGGTACGTGGTGACTCCATACTTACCGTCCCAGTTCAACAAGTACACCAAGATTGTCGCAAGTCATATGACAACTCAGGAAATGTTACCATACTTCGCAGCATCTGGACACAACCTGTGTACAAAATCTGCGCATATTTACCTCCCCAACATGCAAAATCTTGAATCGGAACACCCAGACGTTTATCAACACTTTCAGGAAGGTCATCATGTTCTACGGCGAAGCGACCGTTATTGGGCTGGTCTCTCTACTGATCTTGCGATTGAACAAGTACTGATGAAAAACATAAAATCTTGTGGAGGTTTGACTAGAGGACGGGGAATGGATGAAGCCCAGAGAGCCTAGTGGGTGTTATCTATGCCGGCGTGTGCAGAGTACAATTCAGCAATGCAAAACATAACCGGAGTGATCACTCAGTCAGATGATCAGCACAAGGAAACGTCAAAAGGGCTGATGGCGAGAGATTTCAAGGACACCAAGACTATCATTGACTTCCTCAAAGAACGAAATCCATTTGCAGAAGATCTTTCTTTACAGAACATCGTCACTGGAGAGGTTGCAGATGATACAGCAAATGCAGACAAAGCGTTAGAAATTGAGCAGAAGATCCTGAAGAAGATGAGTGAGTGAGTATGGTTTTACGCCGCTTTTAGCAATATTCCAGCAATATCAGGGCGGGGGACACCAGAAATGGGCTTCACACATTGTACCCATGTCGGGAATCGAACCTTGGTCTTCGGCGTGACGAGCGAACGCTTTAACCACTAGGCTACCCGACCGCCCCCCTGAAGAAGATGGTGGACCAACCTGTTACTGAATTTTCCTTAAAAAAATCAGAACAAGTAATCACAGTTGGAACAAAACCCAATTCGAAATCTGGATTTGATCATGATCATATTGATGTGGATCCCCAATTGATGTTCCAGCGTCATATAACAGCTACAAATGGTCTGTTTGAGAACACGTTGGATGTTTTCAAGCATGAATTTTCCAGTTTCCCATCATCGTTATTTGACAACAACGGATTGCCACGAGAGAGTTGCAAGTCACCACTCGCAGATGCAATATGGTCTCTCGGCACTTGTGAAGCTGACAATACCCTTGATGAAAACGTGCAGCATGTGATAGATGAAGGCTCCCTTTTACAAAGAATACCCTGGCGATCTGAGTCAACTTTCAAAGACATATGTCAAGTATACGTAACACATATCAACGCCAGGTATACTGACCCTGTCATAGTTTTTGACAGCTATCCAGACCACCCAGTCACAAAGGACATTATACACATGCGTCTGTCTAAGGGAATCGTGTCACCCAACGTCAATTTTGCGGAAAATATGCCCTTCAAATCCAAGAAGGAAGCTTTCTTGGGGAATCCTGTCAACAAACAAAAGTTCATAGATATGTTGTCATCAAAGTTGTCTGAAAGTGGTGTAAGATGTCTGAAGGCTGTCGATGATGCCGATCTCTTGATTGCACAGTCAGCGGTGAACTTCTCAAAAGAACAGAAAACAGCAGTAAATGGAGAAGATACAGATTTGCTAGTACTGCTCTGCCATCATGCGGACCCGAATCAATACCCTATAATTTTCAAGTCCGATAAGCAAGTAGGAAGATAACTAAAAATGTGGGATATTAGCAAAACCATCAAATCTCTCGGAGAAGACATTTGTAATCTGCTGCCATTTATTCATGCAATAACCGGCTGTGACACAACCTCGAGACTGTTTGGTATCGGGAAGAACATTGGATTAAAGAAATGTAAAGAAAATGCATATTTCATCGAAAAAGGGAAAACTTTCATCCACAGTTCTTCTTCTAAAGATGATGTCATTAAGGCGGGTGCAGAATGCATCGTACAAATGTATGGAGGATTACAGCACGAGGGACTTGATATTCTAGGCTTGAGGAAATTTACTTCAAAAGTGGTATCAGGACACGTTGGCGTCCAAATTAAAACTCTGCCTCCAACCTCTGATGCGGCAAAATACCACAGCTTGAGAACTTATTTGCAGTGTCAGCAATGGATAAACAATGGACAGAATCTTGATCCTACAGAATGGGGGTGGTGTATTCAAAACGGGAAACTGTTTCCAGTCAAGTCGTCAATTGCACCAGCACCCGAACAGTTAATGAAAATGATTAAATGCAACTGCAAGCTTAACTGTGATACAAAACGGTGCACCTGTCGTAGAAACGGACTAGAGTGCTCAGCTGCCTGTGGGGAATGTAGGGGAATAAACTGCAATAATTCGATTCCTGTGACCACAGAAGACTTGGGCGAGGATTAGAATAATGCCCTGTGAAATATTGTGAGTAGTACAAAACAGTACAAGTACAATTACATTAGTCCAATGGACTATTTTGGAAACTTATAAACATTATTTTTAAAAGTCCTCAAAAATGCAAATGAGTGGCTGCCATGTTGGTTTCCCTGTCTATGGTCAACAAGCGAAAAAATAGAATTAATTCCGTCCTTAATAATATTACACATTTCACAATAATACTACATTAAGATTTTATTTAATAAACATTCTATTCATACTGTTTTTTGATAAACAAAGGACATGAATTACCTTAGAATTGTGACTGCAAACCATGTTGGCGTCAGTTTGAACAACACCAGGATGACGTCATAATTGAATATCTTTATTGGCGCCAAAGTATTGAAGGACACTTGACTTATCAAAATCATCCATTGTCTTTGGAATTATATAAACGTCAAAACTTCCAAAAAACATAAAATAGCAAATATTTCAGTCGATCAAACTGATTAGATCTAAACTTGGAGGCTTGCTCATTGTTACCTCAGACTGTCACTGGCTACAATTATTAATTGCTATGTATGACTGTCCTTGTTGTCATAGCCAACTCACATAGTCTGACCATGTGTAAGCAACAGAGAAGCATCCGTCTGACCATGTATAAGGATCGTCTGACTGTTTGTAAGCATCAGAGTAGCATCCGTCTGACCATGTGTAAGCATCGTCTGACCGTGTGTAAGCATCAGTGATGCATCCATCTGACCATGTGTAAGCATCAGAGTAGCATCCGTCTGACCATGTGTAAGCAACGTCTGACCGTGTGTAAGCATCAGTGATGCATCCATCTGACCATGTGTAAGAAACAGAGAAGCATCCGTCTGACCATGTGTAAGCATGTCTGTGTGTAAGCATCGTCTGTGGAAGCATCAGCTGACCATGTGTAAGCATCCGAGAAGCATCCGTCTGGCCGTGTAAGCATCAGTGATGCATCCATCTGACTATGTGGAAGCATCCGTCTGACCATGTGTAAGCATCGACTGACCGTGTGTAAGCATCAGTGATGCATCCATCTGACCATGTGTAAGCAACAGAGAAGCATCCGTCTGACCATGTGTAAGCATTGTCTGTGTGGAAGCATCAGCTGACCATGTGTAAGCATCCGATAAGCATCCATCTGACCGTGTGTAAGCATCAGTGATGCATCCTTCTAACCATGTGTAAGCATCAGCTGCCTATATGTAAGCATCAGGGAAGCATCAATCTGACCATATGTAAGCAACAGAGAAGCATCCTTCTGACCATGTGTAAGCATCAGAGTAGCATCCGTCTGACCATGTGTAAGCATCGTCTGACAGTGTGTAAGCATCAGCTGACCATATGTAGGCATCAGGGAAGCATCATCTGACCATGTGTAAGCAACAGAGTAGCATCCGTCTGACCATGTGTAAGCATCGTCTGACAGTGTGTAAGCATCAGTTGACCATATGTTAGCATCAGGGAAGCATCATCTGACCATGTGTTAGCAACAGAGTAACATCCGTCTGACCATGTGTAACCATCCGTCTGACCGTGTGTAAGTATCAGTGATGCATCCTTCTAACCATGTGTAAGCACCGTCTGACCGTGTGTAAACATCAGTGATGCATCATTCTAACCATGTGTAAGCTTCCTCTGACAGTGTGTAAGCATCAGCTGACCATATGTAAGCATCATATGACCATGTGTAAGCATCATCTGATCATATGTAAACATCGTCTGACTGTGTTAGCATCAGGGAAGCATCCATCTGGCCATGTGTAAGCATCAGCTGGCCATGTGTAAGCATCAGGGAAGCATCCATCTGACCATGTGGAAGCCATCTCTTTAACCTTGGATCTTGAACTAAATGAAGGCTGCATGGGTTCTTGAGTCAATCAGCTGTCAGCTTCCCAAAATGAAGAGCTTAATTTTTTTAATACTTTGTACAATTGAAAACCCACACAGTACGCTCATAAACAATATATTCACAGTAATATAATGGCAGAGTGGCTTTCTACTTTTGGAATTCCGATATATTCAAGAAATCAGATATGCTGGTTTGAATGCTTCACTCAATCGTACCGAGTATTTAGATTCCTTGACACTGATCAGAAAGTTCACCTCTGGAAATGTCCTTGGAGTGTTCATGCTGCGTAAACATCACTGGAGCATCCATCTGACCATGTGTAAGCATCGTCTGACAGTGTTTAAGCATCAGGGAAGCATCCATCTGACCATGTGGAAGCCATCTCTTTAACCTTGGATCTTGAACTAAATGAAGGCTGCATGGGGTCTTGAGTCAATCAGCTGTCAACTTCCCAAAATGAAGAGCTTAATTTTTTTAATACTTTGTACAATTGAAAACCCACACAGTACGCTCATAAATAATATATTCACAGTAATATAATGGCAGAGTGGCTTTCTACTTTTGGAATTCCGATATATTCAAGAAATCAGATATGCTGGTTTGAATGCTTTACTCAATCGTACCGAGTATTTAGATTCCTTGACACTGATCAGAAAGTTCACCTCTGGAAATGTCCTTGGAGCGTTCATGTTGCGCAAACATCACTGGAGCATCCATCTGACTGTGTAAGCATCAGTGGAAAGCAAAGATGATTTGGCTTGTTGCAGTCATGTTCCAGCATCAGGATCAACTGCCACGGAGAATATCATTTCCATTGAATATAAATATGACATTATTCATCAGAATCCCTTGACAACTGGTGAAGAGTACATGGTGTTTTGCTTTTGTATTCCCAGGTATGGATGGAGTGAAATTAAATAGTAACATGATAGCAATTTTTGTACTGAAGTGTCTGCAAATAAATAACAAGTCTGTCATATAAACATACGTAGAAATACTTTATTTGTGCAAACAAGATGAGACATGACATGTCATCTGAAACACTTTCTCGTAAACAATGTACACTGACACTTGCAGGAGTCATAAACATATAAATACAATAGAATATCCTTGCTGTCACTTGCTCTCATTCACACTAGTTCTGGTTCTATGTGACTCTTATCCAACAGGTGTACACTACTTCTTACTGACACAAGTATGTTTAATTTACTGTGCCCTGAAGGATATCTTCATGGGACAATAATTTCCACCAGCCTATAAAAATGCCTAGTCTCTACCCTTGCCATTCAAGCTTACTTTTCTGTGCTAAATTATGAGAGGACCTTGCAGATATCGATCAATTGATTGGACAGAGAATGTTTTACAAAATCAATATCAGGGTTCCAAAAATATGATCACTGCAGGGCCACATACATCCTGTCGAATTTGCATTGAAATTATTTAAAAAATCAAGCAAAGACAAATATTTTCGAAGTGGTTAAAAGTTTTCAGTCTACTTGCCCAAGAACTTCATTGTTTTTTAACTTGAACACTTAGTGACTTGATGCAGTGGTATTTTTAGATAACACCTGCTGAGTGTTTCATGTTACTTTGATGTGCAATGTTACAAGATACTGTGTAGTCTGTATGCCTCTATCATTGTAAGAGCAAACTGCGGCAGTTATAAGTATCTTTACTATTGTGATCTGTGATTTTGTTTGTCAGGGAAGAAATCTCAAAACTTTTCGATATCTGATCGACAAGGTTTTCATCTTTGTGAACCCATTCAAAATAAGATGGTGAGGTGAAATGGGTTTAACGTTGCATTCAAGATTATTACACTTATATAGCAACATGCATGCTTGTGTGTGTGGCTGCTTGTACTAGTCAGGACTAATGCCAATTTTATAGTGCTTGTTTTTGCCCCTTAATGCCAAGCGTCAGCCTGGGTAACAACAAATATCATCTTTTAATGTCTTTTGGTGTGACACAGCCTGGATCAAACCCCTGAACTTCCACTCACCTGGGGCTCTACCACTAGACCACGGAGGCGGTCTCGAAATAGGTGAGGTGAAAGTGGGTTTAACGTCGCGTCCAAGATTATTGCACTTATATAGCAACTTGCATGCGCGCACAGGTGTGTGTGTGTGTGTGTGTGTGTGTGTGCGTGCGTGCATGCATGCGTGCACTAGTCCGGACTGATGCCGATTTATAGTGCTAGCCAACTGAGATACCATGCCACAGTTTAACATGAATACCCCACTCAGACACATTCTACTGAGGCCAAGCCAACCAGTCCTTGTTTTAGACCCTTAATGCTGAGCGCCAGACATGGCAACAACAAGTACCATCTTTTAACGACTTTTGGTATGACACGGCCGGGAATCGAACTCCGGACCTTCCGCCCAGAGAGTGGAAACTCTTCCTCTAGACCACAGAGGCCGTCCGGTCTCGAAATAAGAATAGAGATCTGATTGGATATCAAGTTTTCATCACCAGGGATAAACTGATTTTCTACACAGCGTGGCACCACTATCAAGCCAAGAAAAAGAGGCTACAATTGGCAAGGGTGGAAACTAGGTGGAAGCTAGTGGACGTGTAAAGGATTAAGGCCATATTTCTGAATCTGGAATATCAAAATTGTGACATGACATGCTACAAGTCTCTACTCATGAAAGACAAGGACATAAAGCAGTATTCAAATACTGTCAATGAGACTTTTCTATCTTATCAGAAACCTTAAAAAAAAGAGCACATACCAACTGATTTACAGTTCCAAGATGTAGCACTGACCTCACATTGCCATGTTCCTCATTCTCCCACACATGCCTAATCCAACTTCAAAATAGTTCCAAGATATCCAGTGTTGCAGTTTACTTTGTTGTTTAGTTTTGTCTTAATAAGAGTAAATAACTTGAAATGTGGGCAGGTCTATATACAGCTTGATTACTGCACCTCACAAAGTCTAAGTAAGTCAGTCTGGTGTCTATTTGAAAGTCTGTCCTGGCTTCTATTCAACTCTCTCTGGGTTTGGACATCATAGTGGTTGTTTACATAAAATATGTTGATGCTATGAAGATCCAAGCATACTATAATGAAGTTTTTCCTCAGATTCTTCTGACAGTCTTTTGCAGCTAGCCAGGAGGTCTGCAACAAATATGTGTAATATGAGACCAGAGGTTATTTGAAAATTTGATACTTAATGTCTGATGCATCAAAAATAGTAGTGAAAACAAAGACAGATTTGTCCCGACAAGAAATCATACTGACTTGTCCCCATGATGTGTATGATACGCTAATGACAGCGTCAACAATCTCCTGTGCATCACTGACTATCATGGGAAAGAATATTAAAACTCAAACAAAGAACAACTTTGCACCAGAACAATATATTGATGGCCAGGAAACGAATTCATCATGACAGTGTCACACCTGTTCTCTGTAAATGTCATATCAGTCTGAAAGTGCTGTGGGGTCAGTTGTGTCAGTATTCGGTTTGACAACCATAAGCAGTGAAAATACATTGACAATGGTGCTTTATTGACGACATAGGATTGTGGGATGTCTTTTCAGATGTGGACAAAGGCCTGTCACAGCTAGACCAAAGTCCCTGGTTTGTTTGGAAGTTGGTGTAAACAACGTTTCATTTCATCCCAAACATGTTGGATGTGCGACAATTGGGTGAAACAGCAGACCAAGGGACTGTGAGGGTGTTCTTTTGTCTATTGAAGTCTGTGACCACACTTGCAACTTGAGGGTGTACATTGTCCTGCTGCAATGTGATATAATGTCATTTGGTTTGAAGGAATGGGAGGATGGATAACTTCATCAAGATACGGTACACCTGTCAAAGTGGCATCTGTGGCCACTAGATGGGGGTCCTGTGATGTGCAGTTATGGCTCCCAAACCATTACGCTCCCAATGTTGACCAACACTCGTCAGCGTAACTTTCGATCCCACGTTGATAAACATCTCAGCTTTCAAGATGAAACCTGGACTCATCTGTGAAGAGGAAACCTTACGTCCTGTATACTCAACCTCAGATGCTGTCTGAACATGTCAGGCATCCAGTTTGATTGTATGGTAGCAAAATTGGACATCGTGTTTGGATGTTATGCTCTCATAATCAATTCATCACAGTCCCTGGCCATAAGCCAGGGATGCATCCTCTGTATTTCCAGGGCTCGCATTTTTGTAAACCTACTCTAACCCCTGGATCCATTCCCTTGATTCCCGTTACTCAAATTACCTGGTCTTGATTTTCATTTGCCAATTTGATTTGTTACGCTTCTCAGTCTAACGGACCAATCAGAATGCTAGTTATAAACTAGCCTCAATGTTGGGTTGGCGATATCGCAAACATGGTGACCAGTCCCATTGACAAAGATTTAAGTTTACGAGAAATTCAAACCTGACACACAAAAGAATGCCCTAAATCTTTTTGATGGATGGGATGTCTTCATGCCTGTAAAACTGGCTGTGGCTTTGGTTTCTAGGCAGTACAAGTCACTGCCCTTACCCATTTCCTTTTTCCTTCTCTCAATGTTTGATTGGTCAGTAAAAGATTAATGAGGGCTAACATAAAAGGAAAATTATATGCACTTTTGGCCTTAAACTTGACCCTCAATTTCAGCCAATCATGTGCGTGATTATTTCCAGTTCAAAATATGCTTTACAAACATGTTACAAACAGTGTTGAGTTCTACACACGAAGAACTACCTTACAAATTACCTTGACCTGCAATGGAGATTAATTTTCAAAACATTACCAATTTAATTCCCAATCGTAAGGATGATAAATTTTATCCTACTAGAACACTTTTTTTTAAGTTACTGCAAAGATTAATGATTTTTGAAAGCATGACCCTGACAGTGAATTTGACCTTCAATATCAGTTTCAAGCATTCCAGTATATACAGGCCTACCTATGAAAACTAACAAACTGCAACAGAAAACTCATATGCCTACACTACACAAGGAATTGGCAACATAAAACAATGAGAACGTAACCAAATCAAAGAAACAGCATCATAAATCCATTGAAATGGCAGCACTAAAACAAACAGACTGCAGCCTTCCAAACTTGGCATGCACAGAACATAAAGGAAGTTAACAGTCATGATCATGAGGATCAACAAACAGCAAGTAAATGTGTACATCTTACAGCGCCAATATAGAATATTCGAGATGTGTATTGGATTACCACTGTAAGATGTATGATGCTGTTTCTTAGTTTTTGATGACAGTTTTCTGTTGGGAATTTTCAGTTTGTCAGTTTTAGTAGTATAGGTAATGATGGTTCTGGACCACTTCCACTGGAGCCAGATTTATATACCTATACTGCTACTACAGAGAAAAAAAATTATGCAAAAATGATGATGCACACAAATGTTCGTCATGATTCGTTTTAAAAGAATCATCAATATTAATTAATAATGGATAAAATTTACTATAGCCCACGAGAATATTGGAAAGGTATAGGAGCAATACAAAAATTGGCCACTGTGGCTAAGGTATCTAAAGATGTGGCCAAGGATTGGCTAAAGAAACAAGAGATGTGGCAAATATACTTACTGGCACCGTGTTACATCCCAAGGAAGAAGTTTGATATTTTTACAACGAATGAAGTTCATCAGGCTGACCTCTTGTTTCTTCCCCATGATAAGGTAGACGCAAAACATATAAATACGCTTTAACCATAGTGGATGTGGCTAGTGGCTAGTCGCTACAAGGAGGCTGAACCATTAACCTCGAAAGATTCAACAGAAGTAGCTAATGCAATGAGCCGAATATATAAACGCGGACCACTAACAAGATGTTGAAATCAGGCGTGGTGAAAAAGAGGCCCACCGTAGTCAAGCTATCGTTGAAAGATTTAACCAGACATTAGCGGAACGTTTGTTTGGATATCAGTATGGGATTGAAATGAAATCGGAATGATCAACCAAATGGGTGACACGATTATCAGCTGTTGTATCAGCCCTGAATATTGAAATAACGAGATTAATCGGGAAGAAACCATCCCATGTGATTAACATGAAATCTGTGACTTCCGAATCTTCAGCACCCGAGGAGAAGCAAAGAACAAAAACTTCTGGATAGACTATGCGTAAGATATTTGTAATGTACAAGCCTTTTGAATATTTCGGTCAGTATACAGTGAGATTAATCATATTGTACATGTTGTATGCGATACAGCATCCAACCATAAAGATATACGTTATTGCTACATGAATTAACGTATATCACCACTGATCTTACTGACTGTTTGTTTAATGTGCAAAAACAAAATGTGAACACGTTCTAAATCACCTGTTTCGATTTGGCAACGTGATAGTTCGTGTGACGTCACCTATGTTCGTGAGTCTGATCCACGAAACTACTTCTTGTAGCATAATGTCTTAAATCTGCCTTGTATGGCTACAAAATTGCATCTAGTCCATCTAAATGCATTGTATATTACTACATAGCCGTGACACGAAGTAAAATAACTTCTGTCACTGGTGGAATGCAATTTCCCTACGTTCCACTGACCGTATCCTCGTGCGAGAGACTACTTACGGTATGACATCACTTTGTTGACAGTTTTATCAGTTGTAAAAGTTCTGAGGCGAGAGAGAGATTGCTGGTTCGATCCAAGAGATGTGAGTTGTCATTCACGTATTTTATATTTCTTGTATATTTCCTTAACTAAATGAAATACTGAAAAGAATAATTATATTCTGTATATAGATGTTATTGTGTATTTCTTAATAGTGAAATTGTTCTTGATAAGTTAAATAATTAAAACTGTGTGGTTGGTGGTATTGGGAGTGATCCACTATTCGCTACCCAAAGCTCTACCCCAATACCCACCCCCTGAACCGTTACAATATTTATACCAGCCCGATTAACTTGAAGGAGGCCTACGTCGCGCAATCGATCCGATTTGGTCTCTTAAGATATATAACATTAGTCGATTGGTTATGAAAGAAGGAGAGCCTGTTCTTTATTTTCTTAAAGATGGACCGGGTAGGGCATTTGTACGAGAAGAGTTGCTCATAGTTCCCAACGATACAGTATTACCACCATAACCATAAGCATAGGTGGTTACACCATCCTTATCAATCGATCTCTTTGTATCTAAGGGGGATAATGATGTCTTGTTCATTCTTAATCCATATATCCTATGATTGACACTTCTTAAAGTGTTCATCTCATGTTTGAATGTTCTACCATTGAATAATGCTTCTTTATACTGTTCGTGTTTGACATGCTTTTTTACCACATACTTCTTAACACCCTTAGGTTTTCTTATCTCTCCATTATCAGACTTCTTAAAAGAATACATCTTAGGTCTTAATCAGACATACTCCGCTATAGGGGTCCCAGCACATTCATCCTTCATCTTACCTAACACCTTTTTATTATACCCCCGTTAATGAAGTAAATCGGGGGTTTATAGTGTTCCGTCCGTCCGTCCGAGTTTTTGTACGGCCCATAACTTTTTAACCTTGCACCCTAGCTTCACCAAACTTGCTACACATATTAACCACAATGAGTACTTGTGCCTTTTGCTAGTTTGAAGAATCTGATTTTTTTAATTTTTGCCGTTTCCATGGAAACATTAGAAACTCAAACTTTTAGGGTGGGTGTTTTGTACGGCCCATATCTTAACTATGCATACTAGCTTCATCAAGCTTGCTACACACATTTACCACAATGAGTACTTGTGCCTTTTGCTAGTTTAAAGATTCTGAATTTTTTTATTTTTGCCGTTTCCATGGAATCAAACAATTTTTGGTCCTTTTGATAATTCTTCTTATGTAACTCCTCAATCAAATTTTTATTCAAAGGTGTTCATGGTGATCTACTTCCTCGTAGTGAACACTGGTAACATGGGAGATTGGGGGGGAGGGGTCAATTGTCACTGGAAGTCAATCTTAGTTTTTAAAACATTGAAGTTAAAATCAGTTAGAAATTTTTAATATTTCATTAATTAACAAACTATTTACTATTTGTTGTTGACCAGCAGGGATAACGGGGGTATGTGAGCTTTGCTCACTTCTTTCTTGTTTACTACGCTGTGCAGTGGATTATCTTTTGGGTAATCGCTCGTGTCGTACATATCTATTTTTTCTGCCATATCTTTATACACATCCTCGGT